TAGAGCAGATAATTGTGACTCCTTAAAATCATTTACTTATGGAATGTGGATCTGTGCACTAAAGGATTCTAATAGCATGCTCATATCACTGGCGTATAGATATTATTCCATATATTTATTAAAACAGAAGGTAGAGAAATGTGTATTTGAGACTTTGGCTGCAGTGATTTGTCCAATATATGTCCAAAGATCTCATAATGACTGGCTCATGAGTAAAATTTGTTGGTGCTGGTTTTGCCAGTGAGTGGAATTTATACCTTCAAACAGCTCAATGTCTCATTCTGAAAAAAACATCTTCTGTCTCTGATTTATCAGCCGATGTGCTTAATCCAACAAACCATGTGCGAATTCATTTAATAAGCTGGTAGTTCAAAACAGGCTGTCAACTATGAGTGCACATATTCGCTGGTGGATTCATGCTGCTCACCACTAAATAGGCAGTCAAGTTGCTTTAGTCCTGAGTGGCATTCTGTCTGTTTGGAACAGAATTTAACAACAAAATACAAATGACATTTAGCCACTTGTGTTAATGCTGGCATTAAAGATCAGTTGCACAGGGAGCCAGTTACAATGAACAACTACCCAGTAAATTTGCTCACTAGTACAACCTGAAAACGACTTCAGTGGACTGAGCAAAAATTAAAAGAAAGTGTGTAGAATAAGTACAAATGCATTTTGGAGATGTGAATTAAATGTTCAAATTCCTACATATGTGGAATTGTGCTGTTTCTTACTCCATGGCTTTTCTAGATTATGTAGAAGACAAGGGTGTAAACAGAATGAAGTCAGAGTTTGAGAGTTCTGATTGAGGATGTGGCTATAAGAAGGGCTACAAATGTGACTCCGCTGAATAGGTATATAACCTTTCCAGCAGAACCATTGCCCCATTTGTATGATCAGAACAGGCACTTGCTGTACCCATGATCTTGGTGTTTAGAGCGCCAGCCGGAAACCTGAAAGCAGAGCACTACCTACACTTTGATTTGACCCAGAAGATGCAATAGATTAATCTCTGCAGCAAGAATGGATGGCAGTACAGCTGCAACTAAATTCAAACCAACAGCATTCTACCAGCCTGCTTCTGAGTTCCTGTGTCTTTGTCTATTGTCTGAGAGCGAAATGCTGACACAGGTGATTAGTCTGCTAAATCTCCCCACTCAATCTCACCAGGGTGCTTTGATAACTGAGAATAGATAATGTCTGATGTGTCAATAGGATGGCACAAAACAATCTGTATAGAAGTGACTCTAAAAATTTAGTGAAATAATAGTCGATTGTGAGAATGAGGGATAATGAGTTTCATGGCTCTCCGCGAAACGACAACAGAATGGAGTGTTAGGTTTTCTTCCAGCTCAAGACTTGAGTAGACCTTGTTGAAAGAAACCTCGAAGCATTAAATAGAGAGGTCTCTGGCATATTTGATAATCCAGTCCAACTAATCTATTGTCAAATTATTGGTTAATGAGGAATTTAGTGTCTGCGTAATAGAATAAATACAGAACTGCACCTGAAATCACCAGATGCCCAATACTGCCTAAAGGCGAATTTTGGTCTGAAGAGAAGATTTGATCTGAGTCGTCCCCTGTTTGAAGGAAATGGGGTAAATTCTGTTAAAGTTCTTTAAATTAAGACAAAGGCACTTTATTAAGAAAGTGCAGGCCTTTCCACAGTCTGCTGTTAGAAAATTAATGCTGAATATCTTTGGATGCTGGATTGTCTCTCGATAATTTGCTCTTGAAATACTTTCACTGCTGCACTATTTGGAAAATGTAACTTGTAGGCGGCACAATGCAGATTAAAATTAATTGTCTGCTTTAACCAGGCAATAACTATGAACAATAGTTGAGAGCCTGTGTTGAACTACCAGCTTATTAAATGAATTTGCACATGGTTTGTTGGATTAAGCACATCAGCTGATAAATCAGAGACAGAAGATGTTTTTTTCAGAATGAGACATTGAGCTGTTTGAAGGTATAAATTCCACTCATTGGCAAAACCAGCACCAACAAATTTTACTCATGAGCCAGTCATTGAGATCTTCCTACCTCACCCCACCCTACCTCACCCATTTCACCTCACCCGCCTTCAATTCAACTTGGAGCAAGTTTTGATTGTACTTGCCTGATAGGGTAATGGGATGGACTTTATTGTGTCGAGTTGCTTTTGAGTTGCTTTCAACTTGTGTTGAGCCGTTGCTTTTATCAATGGGAGTTCAGAGTTGACCTTAAGAGATGGTGCGGAGGTCCTGGACATCTCAATTAGGTCGTTAACAGGCAGTTCAGGACAGTAACCCCAACAAATATACACATTGCCATTTTTTTATTACTATGCTGCCACTAGAGTCAGGATGCTTCCAGTGCTAGTGTTATGATTGTGAGTAGTTGCTGTGACCAAACCTATACCATCAGCAATGAAGACTAATGCTGAGATTCTCTCCTGACATGAACTGACTCAGACATTTTCCCCTTTGCACCATTGCTAATGGATAATGTTGCAGATGCCTCTTCTCTGTGCTATCAATGAATTTTATTTTGAAAGGAGGATTTGAAATTTTATATCTTTTGGTTAGCGGTTCCTCCATAGCCGTGGGGAATAAATGACAACATATTAAAGTGACATCGTTGGTCTGTGGAAGAGATGATGCTTTTCAACTGTCCTTCACCCAATCTGTCACTTAAAGCTTGCCTCCTTCATATTTGAGATGGAGGTTCACAATAGCGCTGACTGGACAGAGATTGTTAGCAAAATAAAATGGGAAAGTTTCCCTTTGTGATCGAACTTAGTTCCCCTTTCTTTGTACAATTTGGCAGATTATGCATTTATTCTTGAGGCTAATTCACTACTGAATGTTCTGTGTATAATATGAATGCTAGAAACACACATACTACTTGTTCTAAATCTGATTTTTGAAGATATAAACTTTCGTCTGATTTTGAAGGCTGTGAAGTGATAATTACTGGCTGATTAAAAAGGCTGTGTGCACTTGTTATTTTAAACTTTGGGTCCAGGTTTATACCATTTTGTGGCTTGTGGACAAGTCCACCCTGATCTTTATAATAATTGTTTGTTTAAATCCCTAATGTTTAATACTGTCAATGTCATTGGTGTTTGATGGTCCTTTGAAATGTAAGAAATATAACTTGCATTTTTTTTTAGCATTCTTTGCATTTTCAGGGGTTCCTGATTAATTTAAGAGGGTAGTTGGGCAACATAAAATATCATGCAACAAAAAAGAATGTGGGAGCAAAATATATGTTGTGTTGAATACAACATTCTGCTCCTGGCAATTCAACATCCACTTAAGTGCGAAAAGACTTCAGTGGGAATTAGGTGGTGGGTGAATGTTGAAAGATACAAATAATAAACGTGCACGGTTATAATTGCATCACCTGACACTAATTAGTAAATAAGTTTCTTCATTTAAAAACCGGGTAGCTAAATGACATTGGGATGACAAAATATGTCTAGTTAATTGAATTTGGGGACCAATAACCAGTGAGTAATGAAATAACTCATGCAAAGCTGTGACTGTTGGTGTTTTATTATTTTATCTGACTGCTGTCAGTATTTAAATTAACAATCCCTTTTTGACCATTATGACACTGTAGGCGTTTGACACGGACAACTTGTTTCTGAATCTGAACTACTTTGCAGTCAGTCACTCAGCAAATGCAAATGATTTGTTTTCAGAGTGTGAACATTTCAAAGGGGAAAGTCAGTAGACTCCACTTTGGTAGCCAATTGAATAGATGTGTTAACACAGTGTGGAGCTGGAGGAACACAACATTTCTGAAGAAGGGTTCCAGCCCGAAATATCAACTCTCCTCCTCCTTTGATGCTGCCTGGCCTGCTGTGTTCCTCTAGCTCCACACTGTTATTACTGACTCCAGCATCGGCAGTTCTTACTGTCTGTAAATAGATGTGGTGTTGCATATGCAGCAGGATGTACAGCAAGCACAGTCTATGGTACAGTGAACAAAGTCTGTTCATTGAACAAACAGAATCTATTTGAAAGGAGCCTCTTCAAACTGTAGCAACTAGAACTTGTAACTGAAACAACAATAATGTGACCTGATCAAAGGTTTTTTTTAAACTTGAATTTGGTGATTGGAAGGTAGTTACATAAACTCCATTCAGGCCAAGAATAGTGGTACCATATACAGTCAACTTTAAAGGGCAGTCAGCACAGATAAGGACCCCCTCCCATCCCACTCCACCCCATTCTTGATCTGGTTTTTATTTAATTCTTGTTTTCTTACACAGTTGGGCTGATTTGGATTTCTACAACACTGCATTCTGATTTGGATTATTGCACTGCTTTTTTATTATGTTGTTATATTTATTTGTTGAAAGTGAGAGAAATATTTTTCAAGCTCCCAACTGAATAGTCTGAACTGGTTTGGAATATTTGAGAGGAAGTGACTTTAACAACAGAGCAAATGCACTATGGTCTAATTCATTGCACAGAGAAACATTTGTATTTGCCATCCTTCAGACATCAGGAATGGACCTTTGTTATTCACATCTCTCTTTTTGATTTGAAGTGGTTACTCAAGTTTTTTGATGTGCCCTTCAGTTAAAATGACAATGATTAACAAAATATTTCATGGTTGGGAAAGACCACTGTCTTGTCTTGCCTGGTTGATGTAAATTGAGTCTGTATGTATTTTGCATTTTTTTTGTATTAAGTTATGGTTTAAGAGAAATAGAACATATATTTTTGTTTAAAAAGAATCAAATGAAGTCAT